CAGCAGTTCCTTTCAGATTTTACGTGGCAACACGATTGGCATGTGTCTCTTTAGGCCATTTACACTGGTGCTTTTAGATTCACGGCACAAAGGCTTTAGTTTATGTGCCCTTATTTCAGTTCTTGATCCATCCACCTAGATTTGGGCCCCTCCACCTGCTTCCTATGTGGCTCTCGGCTCACTTCAGCACAGGCTCTGCTTTCTGAACAAAAGTCAGAATAGACACCTGAGGAAATAATGGGAACTTATGGCCGCAGGGGACCCAGTGTTTGAAATTAAGGTCCACTCCGCATACCCAGCACATTCAGCTGCTGTGTGCGCTTCATTCTTTAGGAAGCAGGTCTGTGCCCCAGGTGCCCTCCAGGTGCTGGGGCTCTGCAGGCTGCAGCCGGCCCAGCCTCACCAACGATGCCCTTTGCTCCGGTCCATCAGGGCAGCGCCAGTAGCCTGCACAGCAAGACCAGATTCACTACTTTCTGTTTCTCAGTATTATGCTGTTCAGTGTTTAATTTTCTGCCTTTTGAATGATTTTAATGGAATAGTTGTTGTTTTTAATATCTTTATTGTTTTCAGAGAGAGGAAGGGAGAGGAAGAAAGATAGAAACATCAGTGATGAGAAGGTCGTCACTGATCGGCTGCCTCCTGCACGCCCCTGACTGGGGATCGAGCCACAGCCGAGGCATATGCCCTGACTGGGAATCAAAACCGGATCTCCTGTATCCTAGGTCAATGCTCAACCGCTGAGCCACAGCCGGGTGGGCTTTATGTAATGTTTTAAACAATGCCTTTGCATAGTACACAAATTGTGCAAAGTGAAAAATGAAGTGATGAGTCTTTCTCCTGCTTCTTTCCCCTGTTGCAAACAACCAGAAAGAGGTCAGATCATTCAGTTTCTTTGGAAAGTGTGACAAACCGAGGTCAGCAAGTTGATTCTGCTTCTCTCTCTCTCTCTCTCTCTCTTTCTCTCTCTACATGTATATATGTGTGTGTGTGTGTGTATACATATGCTTTATTGCCATCTGAAATTCTGCAATATAATACAAAAAAGGAGGGAGGGGAGGGTAAAAATGTTCCCGTGCTACCGGCTATGTCACTGGAAACTGGCCAGACTGTCAAGGCTGGATCAGTGTCATAAGCACAGCTCTGCGATGGAAACACCTGTGAATCAGCATTTACTGAAAAGCTGCCCGTCCTAAATAAATGCACTCAGGCAAACACTCCCGCACAGCGAGTGCGTCTGGAAAACCTCCAGGAACGGAGTGAGGCGCAGTCTCTCTCGAGTGTTTCCCGGGTCTAAAGTTCTTGGCCAGAACTGTGCGGTGGAACCCCCAGACTCGCCGGGAGGAAGGCCCCCTCCTTAGACACCAGGGACAGGCAGCGCGGAGGGCCTGGGGCGCTCGCCCGGCGCAGGGCATGGGCTCTGGGCGCGCCCCTCCCAGACCCAGGAGGGCGGCAGCTGAGTGCGCGGGTTGCGCGTTTGCAATTCTGAAATCGCAGGAGCTCGCTGCACGCTCGCTGGTTTGCACGACGGAGAGTCAGGGAGGCTCCCGAGGACCAGGACTTGCCCTCGAAGCTTCCCAGGCGCCCCCGCCCTGCGCCTCTCTCCTCTCCTGCAGGGGCGCCTGGGCCTTCCCAGGGCGCCTCGCGCCAGGACGCAGGGGCACGCCCCCTGGGGGCGGGGCTCCGTCCTGCAACGGCTCCCAGCGTCCGTTGCGGCGGTTGGCTGTGGTAGGTGCGCATGCGCTGGTCGGCAGACAGGGTCCCCAACGGCTGTCCTGGCCCCGCGGGCCCGGGCCTGGCATGGCGGCCTCCGGAGTCCGTTAGGTGACCATGGAGGTGAGGGCCCTGGCCGGTAGTGCAATTGGTTAGAGCCATTTCTTTCTGTCTGTGTGTCTGTCTCTCTCGCTCCCTTCCTCTCTCTGAAAATCAATAAAAATTAAATTTAAACAAGGGGCGCGTGGGGACTCTTCTCCCTCAGGCAGCGCCGCTCTCCCC